AGTGTTGGTATGAATGAAATATTATTAAAATTACTAGAGCACGTGAACATTTTTCCATAAATATTTTAGGTGCAAATTTTTTATCGACAGCTATACTAGAATTATTATGCTTTTCTTTTAGAATTAATTAGTCTGGATTACCAAAAATGTAGATCCTGATACACAAGTTCACTATTCGTCTCGCACATTAAAAGAACCGAGTGCGAAACGCGTGGAAAAGCTGCCAAGCAATGATCGACAATAGAGAAGACAGATTAGATCCTTCGTTCTTCTACATACTTTTAATAAAAAAAAAATAAAATTGCACGCGTGAAGTCAGACGAGGCAAATTCGAGGCAAATTGACCTGTTAACTGAGGAGGACGAGTTAACACGTCATTGGTTCACAAATACTTAGAACAGAATAGTTTATTTATCGAGGGATTGTTAAATGTTAATTGTACTATTATGCCTATGTCGAATACGAAACACGTCGTATTCACATTTCCAAGAACCAGAACGAAGCAACTGGTTATAATTTTTACTCGTTCTTAATTAAAAACTAGAGAGATTCGGTTTCTGTTTGAGAGGTGAACCCAGGTAACAGGTTAAAAGGCGGGCACCGACGAACTTTTGAGAGAGGAATAGAATTCCGCTCGTGCCCGTAACATAGCGGCTCGTGTCTAAATCACGCGCAGATATTATAGAATGCAGGCTGTGTAAAAGCCGCGAAAACGCCGCTCGCGAACCTACACTTCGCCCCTAATTCCGTATTCACCTGGCGGACACCTCTTACGCGAGTCATTAATAATAATTAAGACAGTTTGACAGACGCGATAAATAATGGCGTAACGTCGAGGCGCGCGCGGGAGATATACGGTCTCCTGTGCTCGCTGATTGAAAATTGAAATTCAGCCGTGCAAAATATGTCACTGGCGTGTCGATAAATTTGCGTCCAAGCTTGAACGATGCCAAGGTATTTCGTCGATCGTGTTATTACATCGTATAACGTAAGTGGTACATAGTAGATATTATACTCGTGTGACAGAAAATATTGGGTCATCCTTGTGGGTTCGTGTCGGATTTTCTCATTCGGATCGATGTTTCCCACGAACCCTTAAACTTCATGGAGAAAAAACACGCGAGTGTCTTCTCGTTTCACAACTTTTTTCTATGTTTCTGGCAAGACCATTGTGTCGTTGCTATAGAATTTCCTTGGATTTTTCGCTGGCGGTGCGAATCTATGGGATGACCTAATATTCAGGGTAAATTGGGGAGTGATGGACCACCTAATTTTTTGAAATACCTGTTAGATTTCACGACCGTTACTATACATCAGTTCTATATGTTACTTTCAGCTAGAAGTTTATTTAATTGCATTGCATTTACATAAGATGTAAATTTTTTATCCTTTTAATTTAACTTTGCACGATTTATTGAGTTTCACTGCACAGTATACGACACATGTTTTATTAAGTTTTACTAGCTTTTACTAAGTTTCTTTTTTTTTAATTTTTTGTACGTTTTGGTTCAACTAACGCACAGTGTATGGGATAGTTGGACCATTGTTATAATTTTTATACGCTTATTTTTGAAAAAAGTATTACAATTTATTCAATTAATTACAGACGAAATTCTGCCTTTGAAAAAAAGGTGGTCCGTCACTCTCAAATTTACCCTGTAGATATATACAGAGAAAGAAAAGCAAGGCACACTTACCAGCGAGAGATATGTCCTCTGAAAGGATGTTCCCTGGTCTTACGAGAGGAGAAGGATAAAGTCAGGTTGTTGGCGGCAGCAAGCCGCGGGCACAGGACTGCGGTCAGCCAAACCACCTGCAACAGAGAAGAAGAAACTGCATTGAATTGCTAATTTATTAGTGTTTTACGCGGAAACGTACAGTGAAAGTGGTTGAAGTTTGCTTAAAAAAATTAGCGGCAATCGAAGGAACAGGTATTAATGTTTGGAACACTTTCGATACCGATCTGCGTATAGTATGCAAATGAACCGTAACTAAATAAGGATAAAATCGTGAATTGTATTGCTTTCCACTCCTATGCACCTGCTTAAATTTTTAATACACCTTCTACAATAGGTGCGCAAATTATTAGAGTCACCGTGCGAAAAACATATTTTTAATAAAATCATAATACGCTGGATAATTTTTAATTAAAAATTGTCCACTAAAAATACAATTAAAGATTTAAACTCAGTTCACGTAATTATAAAAATTACAGTTTAAAAGTAAGAATAACGTCAGTTTGGTAACGCCACCAAATTACCGTCTTAATTATTTCCCCGTAATTTATGCAGGCTCCGATAATTGGACCACCCACTGTATCTCGAATTTAATTTTGATTATTTTATTAAACACGCTGTTACCCATTAGGAAATCATCCGAGTTACATGTATTTAATTTAGAAGTGGACCATTGGGCAACGATTATTCGAGAAAGCAAATAACCAGTAGTTCCCCCGAAAAACACCGGGCGAGACTGAATTAAACAGCTGATAGCGGCGAACACGAATCGCGCGTTCGGATCTCTAATTCCCGGCGACAAGATATATTCCGCAATTAAGCCGAAAGTATGGAAGGAGAAAGGCGGAGAAAAGGGAGAAGCGAAGTTGAACGACGCCGCGAGGCCTGTTTTGCATAAAAATTATAAGCCGAATTAATGTTTTCACCTCGGTAAACGCTTGCCCCGTGCTCTTGTGCACCGCACTTGGCGCTCTCGACCGATCCGTGACTAACACAGTGGTTTATTGCACGTTAATACCGATCCGGTACCACCGGTACTTTCACACGAGAGATGCTCCTCTCTTACGACACGGGGGGAACCGCCGAAGGAACGCTGTCATCTCGTCGTACAAAAATTTATTCCTAGCGTGAACAAAGATCTCCGCCGAAGTTACGATTAATTTCACAAATTCATATTCGTTCTACCTTCCCAAAGAAAGATATCTCTTCACCGATATTTCATCATTTCAACGCATCGTCAACCACCGAACAGAATACCAAATTAAAACATTAACGAGCTACAAAGGAACCTCCCAGCAAATTCACGATCGTCAAGTTTATCTGATCCCTCGATCGATCTTCCTCAATCCACAGGTCCCAGTCCAGAACCATATATTTCTACGATCCTCTTGCTGAACGCGCGACGAAAACAGCAGCCAATTAGAATTTCAACAGAGTCGTCTCTCCCTTGTATATCTATAAAGGAAGCAGCGTGGAACGTTCTAAGATCTAGAATAGCGAGAGAGCCTCGGTTCCACGGAGATTTATAGAAATGGGACAATAAAAGATAGCCGGCTAGGTTCTCTGTCGCTTAATTAAGCCATCGTTCTCCTCAGGGTTGACTGGTTAACTAACTGGCGCCTCTCGTACGAGGAACTCGCCATCTCGCGATGCCCGTTTCGTATCGAGCGGATATTCACACACAAACTCGGACCACACACCGAGTTCTTGGATCCTTATCGGTTCTCTGTTGCCTCATCGAGCCGACGCGCCGCGTCGGCCTCCTCTCTCGTTGGCAGCGCGATTTTAATCGATCCTCCTTATACGAACCGCGTCATACACGCGGCATTACGGCCACGACCACGACGACTTAATGATATTTATCGCTGATTGCCTGGTCGCGCTGAAATACGGGGAATAATCGTCGTCGTCGAAGAGGGAACACGTTCGCCAACGAACACCTTGGATTTTCGTGTAGGAGTAGGAATCTGAGATACAGCGCAAGCTGGTAGGAGTTACGGGGAAGCTTGGCTTGATTTATCCAACGATTCGTAAGTTCGGCAAACTTGGCCAAATACCTGTGACCAAGGATTCCATGTAATTTTCTCGTGTCGCGTTATGACGACCGTTGCACGAACGTTTGAACCTTTAGCTCGCGGTACGAGCGCTCGTTATACCGTTTTGCGAGTATTAACGAACGATATTGCGTTTACGAAAGACAAATGTGCCGCACGGGAGTGTTAAGTTACGTTTGGTAGGTTCGAACACGTCTCGGAGATTGGTAATTGGGTATGATGAAGCTTCCCCGGGGGGATTTATGGATTGAGTATATTGCAAATTAGCGTTCGTGTAATGTTGACACTTCGCAGATAGGGAATTATGGATTTCTTACGGCTGTTTCCTTGTTATAAGTTGTTCGGTGTAACTGTGTTCTCTGGCTGGTGGTTCGGCTGGAGTGTGTTTGTTGATCGTCGTTCTCTGTTTTCTATTCCAACGTCTAAATTCGTGCAAAGTGCGAGTTACCCGACTCATATAGTAAGTAAAGGCTAAAACCATCCTTCCCCCACTAAATACTCTAAATATACGCGGAAAACTGCACTCTTAGGTACTTGGCGACAGTGGGCAATCGTCACCTCGCCATAGAAGTTTGTTAAATGGGAACTTTAAATTCTGTCGCAGTCGTCGAGTTCAAAATTCTTTTCAACAATTCGAGAAATCAGTGAAATAATGAAAAATTTTTGTATAATTATTGTGCATCGTCATTTCTGCATTGAAAAATTTTTGCAGCTATAAATCAATACTTATCCAAAGCTTACATTTTCGACGCGATGCTCGATCAGAAGCAGAAGCACTTCCATCGCATAAACCTCTCTGTAACCAGCGAAGCCAACCAGAAATATATTTTGCACATACATACACTGCAGGCTAAAAGTTTTAGACGACCTGCCAATTTACATCAATATTAAATCTGCTATACTAATTCTTCGTAAATTTGAAATTGACGTTGTAGCGATTTCGATTTAATTTAAGAAACAAAAAATTCTCAAAATTGCTAAAATTTTTTGGAAATTTCTGCGCAACCGTCAATGCACAGTGATCCCAATTTTTATAAATTTAAAGTTAACATTGTGTAGATCAATGATAATTTACTTCGTTTCAATTTAATTTGAGTACTAAAAAATTTGTTAAAAAATTGTTGAAATTGTTAAAATTTTTGTGCAACCTTCGATGCACAGTGATCGGAATTTTTATAAATTTGAAGTTAACATTGTGCAGATCAATAGCAATTTACTTCGCTTCGATGTGATTTGAGAAATAAAAAATTCTCAAAATTGTTTCTAAAATGGTCTCAAAAGCGATTCCGAACTTTTGGCAGACAGTGTATATCGCGACGCACCCTGAAAAATTTACGTAAACACCGTACCCGTTCCAGAATAAAAAGCAGCATTCGTTTTGGCTCGTGAAACACATTGGCACCGCAACATTGCTGTGGGCACCGTAACTTTGTCAAATCGTATATAATCCTGCGAACGTATCGAGTCAACGACGCGTTTAAAGAGCCCATCGCGATCGTCGGTGTATGTACAGTTGGGTTAGAGGCGAGCCACGGTCCGAAACGCGCTAATTAGCGTCTCGAATTCGTTGCGGTGCCCGTCTCTTCCGCCTGATAATGAAATGCCCAGTCAGCCGGTATGCGAAGCGTATTTTCGAAAGTCGAAATTAGCCGGTGTCGCTCGTTGGCACCGGCGCGGTACACACGCGATCGTCGCGAGATATTTCGACGAGAGCACGTCTTCTCCCTCGTCGCTTTCGCCTCGAACGCGTGTCTGTCCGACGATAATCACGCGCTACGTCTCGCAATTTTCGCTCAAACTGCTAGGAGAGCACGACTCTCTCTCTGCCTCGGTGATCGCTATCAATTTACTTTTCACGATCAAGATTTAATAGCTTAATTGAACGATTAATTTCAAGCTTAGGTTTCCCGTGGCTTTTAAATTGTAAAGTGATTTCACGCGGTAATAGGGGATTCGATTAACCCTTTGACTGCAACAGGTATCTGTGGAAAGGTTGCTTACACACGTTGCATAAGCAAACATAATTGTTTATTTGTACTATGTAGTCGAAAGTGTTTTTCATAGTGAGAAAAGAAATTTGCAGATGAATTAGTCGAGGATTGATCTCATGGAAAATTTAAGTGTCCTAAATTGTTTTTTTGGAACCTTAGGTTTCATGTGTTACGTTTGACATAGAGCGTGATATTAGGTATTTTTGAGTATTTAACATTTTTCTACATTTTTTCGAAATATATTAAATATTTTTAAGTATTTAAAATTTTTCTAAATTTTTCTAGATTATTTTCTTAACCACTCTTTTTTATTAAATCCCTGTATTTTTAATTTTGTCAATATATTCGTGTTAAAAATATTTTTGAGACCTAGTGACTCAACTTTACATAGGAACCTGCATATAATTCCACATGGCAATCTAACTTAGCAAGTGTTTTGCTTCGAAGCAGCCTAAAAAATAAAAAAATTTGTGAATACCCAAATCTGGCTGACATGACAGTGAAAATGTTAAGACGATCGGTGCGTGAAACGTAAAAAGGGTGCTGAAGTATGGCATTCGGATTGCAAACTCGTTCTCTGATCATACGTGTGCGAAGGGACACGATTTCTGTTGGAAGAAAAAATACAAGCTGATCGGCCATAAGTCACAGTGAACGGGGAGGTTGAATGTAACCGGTAGTCTTTACGTGCGGGACGCGAGATTTTCGGCAGGGGGATTTATTGGACGCGTACTTTTAAATTAACACCGGGTTATGGTGGGTGATATTGGGGCTTCGATGAGCCGTCGCCATAAACTCGCGACGTCTTCTCGTTAACCCTCTGTTGTGCTCGGAAGGTGGAGTAGTGGGTTTGTTAAGATTGTTAAGACAGGCTTCCGTGTTTAATATTAGGTATTTCATAAGCAGTTGATTTTTTTGTCGGCTATAAAGAAGAATCTTCTAAAGAAGAAATGCAATTAATACTGTTTTTCGTTTTTCATCTTTTAAGTGAAGTTAGAATGTCTTATGTGGTTTGTGGGGCTCTGGAGACACTCTAATTTTCAGTTTCAAAT